ACATGGCTAATAGTGGTTCAAGTCCTGAATCTGGCAACCCCAAAGCCACAACATATAAGCAGATAAATAAATAAATCTTTTGGAGAGGTTTTTTGGTTCTTTTTTTTTTCCCCGCTATAGGGTGCATGCGCTTGCCAGACAGACAGAGACATAGAGACAAAAAGCGAAAAATCACCCCCCAGGGGGGATGGTCACGCTGCAATCCCTTCTCCTCCATTCTCCTCTTGGGATCTTGGGCACACACGCACATGTGCCCGGCATGAGTTTTAAGCCACCGGGTCCGGGACGCGAACCGTGGTCGACTATGTGGGAGTCTAGCGACATAGCCATTACAATAACTGCTGGTCCCTAAAAAATTATTTTTTAAGAACCTATACACCAGTCAATCCAATTACTTAGATGCAAATGAAAATACTATTTAAGGACCAACCTGTAGCCTATTGGTTAAGGAAGCTAGATCTCACATAGCCAACAGTTCGAATACTGGCTCTGGTAGCTTGAAAAACACACCAGCATGTGTGTGTACATGTGTACCCAAAATTCTGACAGGATGTAGAAATGGAGAAGAGTGCTTCTGCCCTCCTCCCTACCCCTTTCTCTGACTCTTATTTCTCTCTAGTGAGTGTACATGCCCTCTGGCAATTAAAAAAATTTTTTTAATTGAAAACACACACACATACACACACACACACACACACACACACACACACACACACCCTATCGGGCCAGCCAGTGGTGTGGTAGTCAAGGCGCCTGGATCCCTCGTGGCCAACAGCGCAGTTTGAGTCTAAGACTCAGAAGCTTGAAAAACATCTGGGCACACATGCGCCTAACCAAGGGAAGAATAAAGAAGGGACTGTGGGGTGGCCATCCCCCGCAGGGGGTGCTTTCTCAGTCTCTCTCTCTCTCTCTGGAGAGTGCCAGCATACTATTACAAAAACTAAACACAAAAAAACCAGAATCATTTAGTTATTCAACAACAGACATGCTACGGAACAAAGGTACTTTTCTATCTTGGTAAAAGATGACCATTTAGAAACTGATTTCCCAATTTCAGTTACACATCTCAAGAGCTGATTCCTCTATGAAGGCCCCATTCCCCACCTGATACTCAACTGTAAATTACACAGGTCTTCAACCTTCTTTAGAGAAAGGGCAGGTTTTAGAAGCTGAAGAGAGACGCACTAAGATCACCCAACAGTGCCGTAACTGACCAGGTAAAAAGCATCCGATGGTGAGGTAAACAGCATGGCATCACTGTGCAAGGAGAGGCCACAGGAGAGGCCTGAGGTCAGTTTCCAGGTCAGCCCAACCAGGCCAGGGTGGTAGTGCCACTTGAAATCCTGGGGCAGAGGATCATGGCAGGGCAAGATCCTGACAAAAATAACTTTCTCATCTTCTTTCTCATTAAAAAACAGACAAACAAACAAACAAAAAAGCAGTATAGGAAACTGCCAGTTTCATTCCGTCTCATAGAAGCACTGTAACATGCAATGGATTGATAAGTTACTGAGCTAATAAATGACAATGGGTAGCATGATGGTTGAGGTGTCTAGGCCCCACACAGTCAACTATGCAGTTCAAGTCCCAGACCTAGAGGCTTCAAAAATGTCTGGGCATTTATGCGTGCATGCCCAAAATCCTGGGAGGAGAATGGAGAAGGGATTGCAGCATGGTCATCTCCAAGAGGGACACTTTCTCACTTTCCCTTCCTCCCTCTCTTTGGTGAGCACACATGCCCCGTAGCAAATTAAAATTACCAAATAATAATAATAATAACAATAAATATATATACATACATATAATTTTTAGGGTACTTTACTATATACATACACACACACACAACATACTTACATATATGGAAATCAGAATGTTGTTGCTGGAGAGGAGACAATTTCCTATTAGTGTTTCTCTAACACTTCAATAGGAAAAAAGAAAAAAGCTTGTTTGATGAAAATTAATATAGTAGATAACTACCTATGCTTATCACTTTTTAAAACTACCTCATGGGTCGAGAACAGCCCTTCTTCAAGAGGCAGACAGCTCCATGGCTCCTGTGATCTAGCCATTTGGGGAGAAAGGAAGATGTCCCACTGATAACTGGGCCTCCAGCATCCAAAACTCGCGTGAACAGCCCTTCTTCAAGAGGCAGACAGCTCCATGGCTCCTGTGATCTAGCCATTTGGGGAGAAAGGAAGATGTCCCACTGATAACTGGGCCTCCAGCATCCAAAACTCGCGTGAACAGCCCTTCTTCAAGAGACAGCCAAGATCCTGACAAAAATAATTTTCTCATCTTCTTTCTCATTAAAAAACAGACAGACAAACAAACAAACAAACAAAAAAGCAGTATAGGAAACTGCCAGTTTCATTCCGTCTCATAGAAGCACTGTAACATGCAATGGATTGATAAGTTATTGAGCTAATAAATGACAAGAGTTCTAATGGGGGAGAGCAGGAGAAACTGGTCTTTAACAGAAAAACGTCAAGGCTTCCCTGGGCCAGTAGGGGAAAAAAAAACTAAAAGTGAACAATATTGTATAAGAAGTTGCATCCAAGCAATAATTATCCTTTACTGAGATTAAATACATGCTGTGTTTATGTTATTATACCCTTTTTTAGAAATGATTAAGATGGTAGGTGAAAGTTTTGGATTTTGATCTATTTGATTTTTTAAAATAATTATTTAATTTTATTTATAATTATTTTTAATTATTAATTTTATTTATTTATTTATTTATTTATTTATTTATTTATTTATTTTTATTATTCAATTTGACAAGAGAAAGAGAGGGAGTGAGAAAGCAAGCCACTAGGTCCGGGACTAGAACCACAGTGGACCGTGTGGGAGTCCAGCACTTGAACACCACGCCACCTGCTGGCCCCATTATTATTATCATTATTTTAATCTACTATAGGATACATGCTCACCAGAGAAAGACTGAAAGAGAGAGAAAGGAAAAGTGAGAAAACAAGCTAATAGGTCCAGGACTCAAACCATGGGCAGTCATGTGGGAGGCCAACGCCTTAATCACCAAGATACCTTGGCCTCCTGAACTATTTTAAATGTCTTATCTAGCAGTCATCCATCTCCCGAGCAGCAAAATCATGCCTTCCGTGCTCATTCGCAGCTGCCTCTTATCCATAGCTGCTATTCCAATGCGGCGCTTCGTCCTTTCTGGTCTGGACTATCCGCGCTGCTCTCCTACACTCGTCTGTTTAGTTTCCCCGTCTGACATTACCAGAGCAATCTTCCTAAAGTACCCCTTTAAGTGTGAGCCCCCAAACTCACAGCATTCTGTTCTCCACTTCCTACAGGAACAAGCTCAAGCCACTCCCCTGAGCTTCCCGATGCAATCTGCCCTACCTTCTCCTCCCACTGCTCCTTCCATGCGTGGACTCTGACGTGGCCCCTCGCTGTCTTCAAACCCCTCTGTATTTTCCCATCTCTGGGCCTTTCCTCAGCCACTGCCCTTATGAATAACATCACTGTCTTTACACCTATTAAATCCCATCCAGCTTTAACGTCCACCTCGGAATTCAGTAACAGCAACCAATTGACACTTACTGCGTGTCATGCCCTGTTCTAAGCATTGGGCTGTTGGAAAAGTCATGGCGTATTTTGCATAGAAAAACACAGAAAAATGTATCACGACTTTTCCAATAACCGGTACTTAAGATCTGTGTCCTTACTCACTTATTTATTTGACAGGGTCTCACTATGTTGTCATCCTCTTAAGTCCCCCAAATAGTTGGGATTAAAGACACATGCCACAGTGCCTGGCTTTTAGAAAGGGCCGGGAATGAACACAGGCCTCCCGTGTGTACTCAGCCTCCTAAGCAGCAGCACCCAGAGCATGCAACCACAGCTGGGCCCCATGTACTTACTCAACCTTCACAAGAACCCCAAGGTAAGCAAAAATAGTAAAACCCTGCTTAACGGATTCGGAACCTGAGGCAAATCACATGTTGGGTCGTTGGGAGGGTTGTGACATATGTTTCTATGCAAAAATGCGTCATGACCCTTCCGATGACCCAATAGGTCAAAGTCACAGAACTAGTAAATGACCAGCTGGGCTTCAAACACTGGCTGTATAGTTCCAAAATCCATCTCAATCACGACTCTATTCTGCCCTCAAATTTTTCAAAAGAATTATTTATTTCCATTTGTTGTTGTTGTGGTTATTATTATTATTATCATTATTTGACGAGAGAGAGAGAGAAAAAGGGAAAGTGAGAAAGCAACCTGCCAGGTCCAGGACTTGAACTGCAGTTGGCCATGTGGGAATCTAGTACCTTTAACCACCACACCACCTGCCGGCCCCTCTGCCCACTAGTTCTAAGAATCTTTCTTTAACCACCCTAAGAGAAAGCGATCTTTCCCTTGCGACTTTAGCTATGTAAATTAATTCCTGTCTATTAGTCATACTATCACCATGACTCTCATACTCTGTGTTGACGATAAACAGTAAACAAGACAGACAAAAATCTTGCCATAAAGATAGTAGGTGATAGTTTTGAACTATTTTAAATGTCAAAATTTATTTGGAAAATTTTTTAATCTTTTTTTGAAGAGGTTTTTGCTATAAGGCATGTGCACTTGCCAGAAAGAGAGACAAAAAGACAGAAAGTAAGAAATCACCCCCCGGGGGGATGACCACGCCACAATCCCTTCTCCTCCATTCTCCTCTTGAGATCTTGGGCACTCACGCACACGCGCCCTGTATGAGTTTAAACCACCGGGTCCAGGACTCAAACCGTGGGCGACTACATGGGAGTCCAGTTACACCAACTGCTGGTCCCAAACTTCATTTGGAAATTTTACTAAGTCTTCTGTAATATAGTCATCCATGTCCCTAGCAGCAAAATCATTCCTTCTTATAGGGAATAAAGGTTTGCTAATTTCCTGATTAGAGAGCAGCAACCTTGGGAAGAAAGCGGATGAGAGCACAAGCTGGGTGGCCCAGGAACACAGCCCCGGACGTCCTGCCTGCCGCTCACCTGTACTGCTCCTGCTCGTAGAGGTCCGCCACGATCGTCAGCAGGCGGCTGATGAAGGACTCGCCGCTATTCTCCCTGTTTGCTTGTGCGGCCAAAAGGGTGCACTTCTTCTCTGTCTCTGCCAGTTTCTTTTGTAGCTTGACATACTCTTGCCGGAGAAGCATCAAGTGCTTCTCCAACTTGGCCACCTCCTCTGCAAGGGAAACAAAGAATCCAGTTTACCAGGGCAGGGGGAAACCAGCACTGACTATCCCCTCGTCCCCCCACCGGTGAGAGGGCCACCAACATGACTAGCCACATGGCGTTTCTCCTACAAGACAGAGAATGGCTTTGTTTCAGAGTGCTGGTCACTGGGCCAGGGAGGCCATCAGAGTACAGAGGTCTCTCCTCTCGAAAGCTCAGTATTCGATACAGGACAGCGAACTGCTGACACGCACCTGCCCTACAAATCCTTTCCCGTAAAGCCCGAAGTCTAAAAAAGAAAAGGATATCAAATCACCTAGGAGGGCTGGGCCCTGAGCACAGCGGTTAATCCCTGTGCAAATGAAGCTGGGTCCCACGTGGTTGACCAGGGTTCAAGTCCCAGCCCTCGCAGCTTATACGCCAGGCATACATGCACACCTGGGATCCTGACAGGATGTAAAACTGGAGCAATAAGGGTTGCGGCGTGATCAGGGCCCGTTGGGGAGTGCGTTCTCTCCCTCCCCAGGTACCCTCCCCCATTTGTGTCTTATGTGCACGTGTACACACACACCTGTTCCGGCACAATAAAAAGGAAAAAGAATTATATCTATATATACCAAAAAATCACGTAGGGGACTTTCTCAAACCAATAATGGCAGAAACTAACTTATACAAGTTATATATTCTTCTAAAAGCAATATATGCATTCTCTCGTGTAATCGGTTTTAAATTTTTGTTTGTTTTTGTATTTTTGCCAGAGGGCAAGTACTCCCACTGGGGAAACAGAGACAGGGAAAGGAAGGAATCACCGCCCAGGGCAGAAAGCCACATCGCGATCCTTTCTCCTCCATTTTCCTGGGACTTGGGGCGTGCACATACATATATGTCCGGTGTGAGTTTCAAGTCACCAGATCCAGGACTCGAACTGTGGTCGGCCATGGGGGAGTCTACTACCTTATCCACCATGCCACCTGCTGCCCCCCCACCCCATCTCGTGTAAGCTATGACAGCCTGTGAAGTAGGCACTATGACTAGCCACACTGCAATGACTCTGGAGCACGGAGAGTTTAGGATTCTGCCAACAAAGTTGGTGAGAAGCGGGGCTGGGATATTAGCCCAGACACTTTACCCCAGGCCAGTGACAGTGTTAACCACTGGCCCACACTACCTGACATCTATGCTCTTTAAGGTGAGGATCAGGGCAGTCAATAACTGTTCAGATGGAAGCGAGTCATTTTCCACATAATGCGGGGCAGATAGAAAAGGGAAGGACCACTGCATTTGATTCATTAAATTCACCTTTACCAAGTGTCTACCAGGTTCCAGGGGCATCGTGGTAAACAAAACCAGATACAGCTTCGCTTAGAGCTTTTAGTTACTGGGGAAAATGAACATAAATCAAATAAATTTTATTATAATCTATAATTATAATAATAACTGAAACCATCAAACACAAAGCTACAACTCTATCAAATGCTGGAAGGGAAAAAACAGAGCTTCGTGAGCCTAGAAATAGAGAAACTTAATTTAGGAGGTGAGGGAAGGCTTCCCTGGGGAAATGAGCAGTCACAAAACTTCTCTCCTCTTT